GATCAGGTATATTGTAGGTATATTCCTCTATTGGAATTTGCCTGATGTTGTTCTAATGATTAGACTGGCATTATGGTTTTTGGTAGGAAGACCACAGAGGTTAAGTACTATTTCCATGATCTCATATCAAGTATCAAGTGTACGTGCCATCAACATGATTTATGACTATTGGTGTTCACCTTGATCATCTTGCAGTAGTGTTTGTCAAGATTCTTAACTGTAAAGGTATTCTTGCACCTTTCCATATTGTATTCTTTGGAAAGAGTCACTATGCACAGCCTATAAATAATTAGTGAGAGTTATGCTCCTCTTCTTCTGGAGTGGAGTAGGTACATAATTTATTTGGAATTCTTCTTCAAAAGAGCTCTGAACCAAGAGTCTTTTATGTAGATAGGCTTATTTAGGATTTGGGGGTTTCCTGATATGCATTCTGTGGCTATCGTTCATTATACTTTTTTTATTTTTTGGAAAAAAAATCAGGCAATTTGACTATGCCAACATGATAGAACGGATGAAGCACTGAATTAGAAATGTGAGGGTCTGAGGTTGCAAAGCAGCCCCAGTATTTCCCAGGAGTGAGGCCCTAATTGCTGCCTTGAGTGATCAGCAATATCTACTGGGCAATATCATTTTACTTGCTATCCTCACTGTCTGGAACAAATGTTCAGTCGGGTGGTCCATAGCTGGTTCCTTCTTTTCTGGTCAGCTCAAAAGTCACCCATTTCAAAAAGAGTTCTTGGAGCATCCCAGGTAAAATAGCTCTCCTACATCCCAGAACCTTCTATTGCATTGGCTTTGGGTTAATCATTGGCATCTTTTATTTTTACCTAATATAACCCCATTTATTTACTTGTTTATCAACTGTTTCTAGATTATAAACTTTATCAATTCTCCATGAAGTCAAGGACCTAATTTGTCTTATTTCATCTCTGTGCCTAGAAAGTACCCAGAATAAATTAGAGACTAGATTAAAAAGAAGAAACAAACACCAAAATGACCATTGGAGACGTATGCACTGAACATTATCTGAAGCTAAAAATGAAATAAAATAACAAAACTCTTTGGCAGCTCTGATAAAAAACAAAAAGCTGATCTCCACTGCTGGTACTTCCATGAAGAGGGGAGAGAATCTAAAAACAAAAGAGATTTTTAGTTTTCTCTCTCTGTTTTGGTTTTGAAAATATATATTATTTGGATTTAGATAATTTTTGCTTAAAATAGGTATTTTGGATGACACGAAGGGGAGCTGACTTCTCTTATCTGACAAATCAATGTCCAGAAAGAAAGACTTTGATGTCCGGAAGAGGACGTCTTCTTGAGTCTCTGAAATTTGAGATGTCAGTATTTCTTCTCCACAATTGTTGGGAAAAGGAGCACGTTTATTCTCTAGGGGAACTGAAGCATAATGAAATGCAATCTAAGAACACACAAACTTATTATCTACTAGGATGGTTGAATGGTTCCAATCAAATGGAGGATAGAAATAGGGGCTTTATATTCGGATTTTGGAAAAATGACTCCACAGCTATACTTAGGCGCAATAGTGCCTGCAAATACCTGTGATAGTGGCAGGCTGTGGCTTGTTCATGACATAATGAATATATTTTCCCTTTGAAATTTATCATGGGGGTGAGGAAAAAGTGCCTTAAATTATTCCTGCAAATGGAAGAAAGATATCTTACTGTGGATGATAAGAGAAAGGTTGCTTCTTGTCTAAGTGATAGGTTGGTATTGTTTTTTAAATGGCTCTTCAGAGGGCTGGCTTTGTGCCAATGACTGCTCAGAGTAGGTGGACCCTGTAACTTTAAAAAAGTCAAAATTTTTCTTTATTTCTCCACTCTTGGAAATTGCTAAGAAGTTGAGCTATGGCACCATTATGGTAGGAATCTTTTCATGAGGATACTTTTTCCATGTCTACATGGATAGAAGTCCTGACATCAGGCAGATGGCCTTTTTAAAAATACTCATCTGATGTCACTTGCTACTTAAAATTTATCAACAAGTTCTCATTGCTTTTAGGTGAAAAATAAAAATCTGTGGTCTACAGAATCCTGCGAGAGCTCTGGCTTCAGCCAATTAATTGTTCAACCTCATCTTGTGTCCCAGGAACTTCGCATATGCTTCTCTCTCTGCCTGAAATCCATCTTTCTTCTGTCTAGTTAAATTCTACTTGTCCCTCAGATCCAAGCCCAAATGGCAAAACCCGCTTCCCATAACTCCCAGACTATATTAAGTTCCTTTGTCTCCAACTCCCGTAACTCCCTGAAGCTTGTCTTTCTCACAGTTGGTATTAACTGTCTCCCTGGCTAGACAATTAAGGTAGAGGCCATGCCTGCTTGGCTCACAACTAAACGCCATGACACCCAGTAGGTACTCAATGCATGTATAAAGGAATGAATAGATGGAGCTGGGTTACACATTCCAGTGTTGCATAAATTTTCTAAGTACTTAATGTTAACAACATAAGCAAGTTGAGTCTCTTATTATAACTAATAACATGAAAAAAGATCAGTCTTCACTTTGTTTCATATTGACTATAAGATAGATAGATGAAGATAAAGGTTAAGTATGTGGGTTTTACACAGGCCTAAGTTCAAAACCTGGTTCTACCATTTACTGGCTGTGTGATTATGGGAAAATTACTTCAAATTTCTGTGTTCCAGCTTCCTCATCTATAAAGTAGGTCAGATCTCAGTTTGAATCCCTAATCAATCCATTTTTAATTGTGTAACTTGGTTCAAGTTAATAATCTCTAAGCTTTAGGCTCCATAACTTAAAAATAAAATACGGCTAATAATATCTATCTGTCTATCTCTTTGGGTTATTAGGAAGATTAAATACACACATATATAATTTAAGTATATATGTCTACATATATAATTTGCTTATAAATATATGAAAGGTGCTCAGCCCATTAGAGTAAAATAATCAAAGGAAATTAAAACAATAGGTGACATTATTTCCTATCTATCAGAAATAAGATAAAAAATATTGGGCAATGCATGCTGTTGGTAGCAATGTAGAGAAAAAAGGTATTGTCACACACCGTTGGTGAAATATCTTTGGAAGGCACTTAGAAATATCTATCAAAATTGCAAATGCAAATAAAATCTGACCTAGAAATTTCTTCTTCTAGGAATTCATCCCACAGCTATGATCATGTTCACAAAGATGTCAAGGTAGTATCGTGATAGCAAAAAGGTGGAAACAATAAACAGTTCATCAATAGGACTGGTTTAAAAAGTTATGGAATTACTTTTTATGACATTATTTAAAATGAAATATTATTTGGTCATTAATGTACCGATAGAGAATTATCTTTAAGATATAGTATTTGATATGAAAGGCAATGTAAAGAATAATGCAAATTTGTGTTAAAAAAAATCACTGTATACAAGCATCCAATTGTTTAAATGGGCAAAAAATGCTTTCCTGAGGACTTACTGGGAGCTGTATTTGCCTCGTGAGGAGAGAAATGAGGGTATCTAGGTAGGATGAAATTTATTTTTCATTGTCTATACTTTTTTTTTTATAGCTAAGTGCATATATTTCTTTATCAATTTGAAATTAATTTAAAAGAGGAGAGGCTGTGAATTAAAATTTGTAGCTACTGTTACTATGATTGCTCTTTCTTTTTTTATTGTTAGATGTTAAGGTTAGACTGCCACAGAGAGTCCTGGGCTGCTTCAACATGAAAGATGTAGGACAGCAGGGTGGCACAGTGGCTACCATGGGAGGACGCACAGGTGCCCATGGAAAGACAGAGAAGGCCGAGAATTCTGGCTAAGAAGTTGATCAAACAACTGGACAGTGGGTATTAGGGATGGGCCAGTGGCTTTTTAGGTATTTTAAAGGTAAATAGAAACCAAGCCTTTCAACAAAAGTCCTTTTATTATGAATATATTGACTCCTCATAACTACCTGGAAAGTAAGTATTATGCCCATTTAACAGATGAGCAAATAGAAGTTGGGCAGCCTGTCCAAAGTCACAAAACTGCCAATGGTGAAGCCAGTATCGGACCCTGGGAGTCTTATTCCAGAGGCATGCTTTAGGTACTCACGTGCTTTAGGCACATTTATACTATGCTGTTTTTGTAGATTTTAGGGATCCTACTCTATTTTTTATTGTTTTAGACACCCAAAATAAGCACTCTTTATTAGAAACGAAGGTCCACTCTGTGCCAAGGTTGCACTTGAAACCATGTTTGGTGATTTCTAGAAGCTCTTTTACTCCTGGTTTGTGATTTCTCTAGTTTCAACTCTGTTTTCTTTCCCTGGAGAAAAGACTGCTTGATGGAATCCAGACTTGTGAGCCCTCCTAGTAATCTCCTATGGCTATGAACATTTTCAATTAAAAAGGATGGCTCAAGGAAAAAAAACACATCCCAGCCCATCTCTAGGCCTTCCAGATTTGGTACTGCATGAACAATAAACATGGCTTCATCTTAAGGACTTTGCTGATCAGGGTAGTTAGAAAATTACCAAATGCTGTCAGATCTGTCTCTGTCCCGAATGAACACATTTTGGACAATCCTTTTGGTACTGATCGAGAAGGTGAGGTTACAGCCCAAGTTCAGCGCACGAACAGAGGATATTCAACAAGGTACCACCCAGATGCAAGTACTTCTGGTTCTTATATCCCCTCTTAGTAATGCTCTGCATTCCAGAACACGCCAAAGTCTAAGACATTTGGAAAGGGCCTAAGTAGTAATTAATTTAATTTGTCCAACGAGGGACAATGAGTTGGCGAACAGATATTTTTCTCTTGAAATTATGTTTTAATAAAGGTACTTAAAAGCTTGAGATGTTTTCAATCATTCTACTGCAACATAATGGTTAATTTTAAGGGCTCTGTGAGTTTGATTTGTATTTAAGATTTTTACAATCTATATATAGGTTAGTCTTTAATAACCATTTATACGTTGCTTCTTTTTATATAGGTCATGTATTCTCCTGGGAAAGTAACAAGATTAGACATAACAAATACAGTACAGAATAAATTAAAGTGCTTCAAACTGCATCATATAATTTCAGAAAATTGGTTTCACACCGAAACATTTAAATAAGAAAACCAAATAATTTAAGGGGAAAAAAAAAAACATACTCTATGCATTTGAATAGCTATAGTTTAGCAAGTTTACCCTCAGCACTGTGGCAGTGGTATCTGTTCACAGTGCTCCATTAATGTGGCAGTTCATTTGGGTCAATATGGATAAAGTTACTATTTTTCTTTATTTAAAAGAGTTGGCTTCATTCTCCTTGAAGATGAGGAACATTTATTAGTCAAAATGTCAAAAGAGTATTGTAAAAGTAATTGTATTTTTATATATAATTCTCCAAACTCTTGTATACAAAATGTTCTTATTGCACTCGGTGCAATAAATTCAGAGTCTATTATAGGACAGGAGATAGCAAAATTGGGGCCAATACTTTTCTAATTACTTAGGATAATAAAATGTGGGGTTTGGTTTTCCTTTCCCAACTAAATGAACGAGACATGATGCTCTAGAGAGTCTATTATTCTGGCTGGTTTTGTTTGTTTCTGTGAAGTTTAGCATCACTCTCTTTGTACCGAGTCCTCAGGCCTTTTTCAATTTTTCTATTCGTGCATTAAAGGCCTCTTCCTGTATTTGCAGCTTTTCGTTTATCTCGTTCTGTGAAGACAATCATAAAAAAGTGGTTATGATGGAGCTATCTTTTGCTGCACATTGTCTTTGTGGTTTTGACATACTATAGTGCCTAAAGACAGACATTATCCCTCACACACCTTCCTGTTTTGCAGACATAGCTGTGTTTCAGCCTGTAGTGATGTGATAACACTTTATCATATTTCTCTGCACATTCCCAATGTATAGCATGTCTGCTATGAACAGGAAGTGGTATTTGGACAGCCATTTTTCACATAGCCTTGTGTTGGAAGATAGGATAATTTATCTGTATTTTCAGACAGACTTTACCAATAAGCACCGAATCAGAATAACTGCTCAGGGCTCGGTTATTGCAATGTTGTTGGTTTCCCCACCCCTTTGCAATAAATGTTTTCTGTCTCCTGTGTAATACACTCTAAACGTGATCCCAGACAGCTTCTGTTGTAAATTAACAACATAAATAATCTCACAATTAGAACAATCTTCATAATTAAAAATATTTGTCACACATTATAACTTCTGGAATTATGCCACTTGGCGGTATAGTTTTGGTAGAAAAAAGTAAGTGATTGCTGACAGGTTTTAGTGTTTGCTGCAGCTACGATAGCATTTAGCCTCTGGCAGTGATATTCTGTAGACTAACATTGCTACCTGAACAATTCCAGAAATACTTTCACATTAACCGAACATTTGTAGCTCTGGAAATATCCCCTTGTTTTCATGATGGATCATAAAATTATGTAGAGAGCAATCAGTGGTGGGCGATGAGGTAAAATTGGTGGTTTTGTTTAGATGATTTAAAAAAGTATACAAGTGTATGAGGAGTAGTTTATATATATGTGTTAATAACTAATTCAAACTTTGGAATGCTCATGTCCATCACATAATTTGAAGATTTTTCAGGGTAACTGTATTTTGAGAAACTTAATATTTTAATTTATGTAGAAGAAATTTAAAAATCAAATACTATTTTAGTCTAGATATAACTTTTCATTTTATTTATTTATTTATTTATGCATGTAACTGTAATAGATAGTTCTGAAATGTACTTCCTGGTTGCTTTATCTGATAAGATTTTGTTTTATTTTCATAGGAAGAATTGATATTTCTGAAAAGATCACTTTGGCATCAACAATTCTGGATTCTCATGTGAGTATATCAGTGTTTCTTTTTTGTTGTTGTTCAAGTTTTATCAAGCTTGGATCAAGCTTGACCTCTGGTTTTTCATTTTTTTCCTTTTTTGGCGGTTGGGTGGAATAGGCAAGGACAGATGAAGATGGTCCTCCAGGTTACAAAGGAACTCTGTCATTTTTTAAAATCACTAATCCCCTCAGGCATGATTTTGGTAGAGTTGAAAGGAGCACACTAGTCTATGAGTGTGGAGACCAGGGAATAGTTTAGTTATGTAGCCTTGGGCAAGACACTTAACCACCTAAGATCTTAGTTCTTACCTGAAAATTAAGTAATAGGAAACTAAATATGTTAACGCTGCATGCTAGCTTTTAAATTCATAATTTCAACTCTTAATTTTGTGATACATTGACCAATGTTATATTTTATTGGTACGATGTCATAAAATATTTTTAAATTATGTTACTCTCACTTCTTTATGTCATACAACAGATTAGACCATCTAGGGGTTGAAATGGTTTGAATAAATAATCTTGTCACAATTCCAAAAGATAGGGAAGCATTACTCTGACTAAACGAATGACTCACCCACTTTCAATGTAGCCAGGTACTACATAAAAAAGTGTAGCTTAAAGACAGACCACATACACGACAATAATGGAGCTGAAAAACTATTGCCTAGTGACATCGTAGACACTGTAATGTTGTACAACACAATGCATTACTCACGTTTGTGGTGATGCTGGTGTAAACACACCTACTGCGCTGCCAGTTGTATAAAGTACAGCACATATAATTATGTAGAGTACATGATACTTGATAATGATAACAAACAACTATGTTATCGGTTTATGTGTTTACTATATTATACTTTTTAGATTATTTTAGAATGCAGTCTTTGCACTTATAAAAAAAAAAAGTTTGCTGAAAAACAGTATGCCTGTTATGCCAGCAGCAGCGCTGTACCTCTCATGTCTTCCATGTCCCTTGACTGCATCATTCTCTCTTGTGCTTGATTTAATCTCGTGTTGTTTTGTACAGTGACATGCTTTACAGGTTTGTAGCCTAAGAGCAATAGGCTATACCACATAGCTTAGCTGTGGAACAGGCTATACCATCTAGGTTTGAGTAAGTGCACTCTATATTGTTCGCACAATGATGAAATCGCCTAAGGACACATTTCTCAGAATGTATCTCTATCGTTATTCAGTGCATGACTATAATGTGTTCTACGTACATCAATAATCTCATTTCTTTTCAAATGAGGATATATGTACTATCATCTACCAGCTTTTGTTTCACTATCTCACTAGGGTTTTTGCATTAACCTGGAAACCTTTCTGGTATTTCACTGAAACAGAATTCATCTACACAAATGTGGGCTTTGGGAAAAAGGTTCATGAAGGTGAGGTGCATGCCTAATAGAGCAGTGTATTGACAGAGAGGAGTTACATGTCAGATCTCTACACTACCGTGGCAATCAGTACTTCAGTTCAGGCACGACCAGCATAGTTGGATGAAAGGCTCTTTTCTGGTCAAGCACAGGTTGCCATTAGTCTAGCATGTCTCCTTGTTATTCCTTAGAACAGTGCTGAACAGGCAGGCTACCCACAATCACTAGATTTGGGTTTGTTCTATTTCCTTTTAGGAAGAACAGAAAACCCATGACCTGGGTTCAACAGCTTCTCAGTGATCACTCCCTTGAGGTGATCTCACTCTCAGGTTTTCTAACCTGGAAACTCAAGTCGATCTAAAAATATCTGCAATCCCAAGATGGCAAACTTCGCTCAAGGTTTTCACATTATTTTACCCTGTTGCTTATGCAGGGCCAATGGCCAGCATTTAACCGCAAAAATTTAGTGTTAGCATTCATATTTCTCTGAAATGTAATTCTTTAAATATATTAAAGTTTGCTCCACTGGGTATAATTTTTTATTATACAACTCAGGGCCAAAATAATTTCATTTTGAATGTATCTTTAAAATTAAAATACCTAAACTATATAAGCTTGAAATGTTTGCTCTATTCAGTATAATTTTAATTAACATCTCAGGGCCAAGATAACTTCATTCTTAATAAATCTCTCAAACTATAAAGTGAGTGAATGGGAAAGTAAGTGGATTAATGAAAAAAAAAATTAAAGATTCACACTATATTTTCAAAAATTTCTGAATTATAGAAAGTGAAATATGCCTGTAACTACACCAGAGAAACTCTGAAAATCATACTTAAAACATGAATTCTCTATTGCCTTTTCTTCCAAAAAAATATAATAACAGTATGACTTTTAAATAAAGGAGAAAAAAACTATTGGAAAATTTTAAACATCTTACAAATAATAATTCATTAAATGTTTCTACAGCAGGCCAGTATATATACTGACCACCGACCTGTGGTTACCTTTGACCAGGGATGTGGCAGTCTTAGGAGCCAGGAACATTGGAAGGAGGGTTTTAGAATGGAAAAATAACTTACACATCTAAAATGGGGGTTGGGGGAGGAATTTAGGTAAGCAGAGAGTAATTACCCAACTTGGAATTTGACCAAGACGCAAGGGTAAACACTGAAAAAGTGCCACACCATGGGAGTATTAAAATCCAAAGTAGTCTGGTCGTGATATTAGAGGTTATGTGGTTTTTGTGGATAACACTGGAATTTGAATTAGAACTCAGTTTACAGCTCCCATTCAGAGTCTTTCATCAGTTTCTGACCTGGAAAACTGAGGACAAATGACTTCTGTCTCTCATTTTTCAATTTATTCATCAGAGAAGTGCCTGTCTAATTTGCATAGTCTACTTATTGGAAGAAAATACATAAAGGGGTTTGCTAGCTTGAGACATTGTATAAGTATACATCATCATGTCATTTATTGAAAATTTGGCAGTCATTGGCTCAGGCTAATCCATGAATCCGCATAATATGGAAATGATCGTGGCATCTAAAGGATCTGCATCTCTCACCTCTGGCCCAAGTTCTTTCTGTGTCTAATTATATTTAGATGAACCAGCTAATGAACTGCCAAGCCCAGTTAAGGATAGCTGCAGGCCTATGGGACAATGATACACACATATAACAATCATATTCTTTCTGTTATAGAGTCGTGGTATAAATGCTGCAGACTCTTAATATTAAAAAAAAAAATCAATAAATAGTTAAAAACATACTCACTACATGGAACATGGCTTGGTAAAGATGTTTTCAATTTTGGGGGCCTGCAAACAATTCTATTACTGTCTGGTAGTTCCTCGGTAATAATTTTAGAGCCACAGGATCGCAAAGGAGCCCAGGGCCATGATTATACATAAACTATATTTAGATGAAATGTTATCAAATCTAAAAAGGAGACATGTTCTGAACTCAGCTTAATTCAACTGCACTCTGCCCTTCCACACAGTAACCAGTTATTACATTCATGGGGTTGTTAACAATAAAGCTTTGTGTGAAACATGTTCTTCCACTATTTCTGGTAAACACTAAACACTCCTTATTAAACCAAGGACTTTGGCTGATTCTGTTGGCATCAAATCATTAAATGTTTATGTAAATAATGCATTAACATTTGATGATTAAACAAGTAACAAGGTATGCTTATGCCAAGCTAATCTCTTGCTCTTTCTAAATTAGTTGTTAATATAGTGTGCTTTTAATATAGTCTCATGTTCAGATAACAACTAAATCTTTCCCTGAGATGTGTTAACATTTTAAACATGCAGTATACTGTCTTACTGATTCACAGTCATTTCCACAAGAAATTATAAATCCTCTCAAAATATGCAATTCACTTATTTAATCATTTTGCCTGGACAATGATGCAAGTCTTTGTGTAGAGGTAGAAATGGGATGTTTTTTTGGACGGGGAAATAAACTAAGCATAAAGTTAAGTCAATTGACCCATCATGGGCGACTGCTACTAAGATGGCTGCTGCCATCACCATTTTCACGCAGCCATTGGTATAAACTGCTTAGGTTTTAGTGATATGTGAAAAGGAACAAACTACCTGAGAGCGACCTCAAAGATTTGAAAACCTCTCTTTAGAAATTTGGTGAGAAGGCTTAGTTAAGAATTATGGTTTGATCTTCAGTGTTTACTGTTTAGAAATGTACTCTAATTACTCTTGTATGTGCAATTTTAGTGTGACAAGGCACTAAGTCTTAACCATGTTATTTTTTGGGTTTCACTGACAAATGATTTCGTAAACTGATAAGACACCGCAGTACGTGCTGTTGGCGAATCTATTTTGTGATCTTATTGAGTCTCAGATGACTCAACTGAGAATTATGTGGAGATATTAAATTGAACTCTTCCATCATAAGCACTGCTCTTGCTAGCAGAGAGTAGGTAGTACTTACAGACATTAAGGTTGGAGTTGGCTAATTAATCAGTAATGAAGTAAGTAAGCATGCTATCAAGGCTGAGTACCTGAATGCCAATTAAAATGTCATCTGTGACTTGACCCAGCACTGATTTTACATCTTCAATGGTGAAACCAGCTAAAGGATCTGTGTCTGAAGTGCTGGTTTCTGGCTGGGACTCCTCAGGGCCTTGTTCGTGATCCGATCCCTAGAATATTGAAAGTAAACAACACTCAGGTAATATCCAGAGCATTCGGGGTTAAGTTAGCCTCAAACCTCTCTTGGGTACTTTTCTACCGGGAATAATTTCAACCCGGAAGGAGATTTTAATTTGACGTCATCCTGCATTTTCATTATTTATTAGCACCATGACTGATCAAGTCATAGTGCTAAGCAGAGCTTACTTGCAGGAAAGTGAAGGTGGATATTGGGGAAGACATAGGGGAAGAGATTAAAATTGCTGAACCACCCTGAGCTGGCCGACTTGTGAATCAATGGTAAAGCAAATATTTATATTTAGCTGGGAAAAATCAGAGTGAAAGAAAATAGAAGAGCATTTGGTTCCTTTCCTCCTGCCCATAGAGAATATCATGTTGAGATAAGATGAATTAAGAGACAAAAGAAAACACACCTTCATCTCTGTATCCAATGTTGCAGGTGGCTCTATGAATGTTGAATAAATATCAAATGAGATTCCTTCTTCTAGAGGGTTGGGGAAAAGGCAACCTGAAGGCTTGACGACCTCTATCGTTTGCTGGAGAGGAAAACAAGAGCTGTATTATGATGAAGCCTTTGGTATGTAACCACAATTTCAGCTATGTGTATATGTGTGTGTGTGTGTGTGTGTGCGCGTGTGTGTGTAAAGTTCCTAGTCTATTATCTTTTAAATGCCATCTCCTCTGAATTCTTGCTGCCACTGCTCTCTTAGTTCTCTAGTGCTTTTAGTGCTCTGTACCTGATGATTAGCATTTTATTCTTCCCACTGTCTAATTCTCTTTCTATATTATGTGGTTTAGGACTTCATTCTGTACTGCTCTGAGCTTTGATATTTTTCATTGGTCAGTGTCCCCTTCCTCCTGCTTATAAACTCTCTGTAGGTAGAGAACACATTTTAGATCCCCTGTATATCTTCTCCAGTTCTGGCAGAGGGTCAGGTGCTTAAAACACTCAATAACAGCCTGAGGGTGATTGATATTACTCAGCAAAGTATAACTGTTCTTGGGGACAAGAGTAAAGTGGCCATCAAGAACTTGATGATGAGGACAATAAAGGCTCTAAAGGTTAATGTATAAAGCCAGTACATAGTAAATCAGAGAGAAGATTTGTAAAATCAACCCAAAACACAGAGGACAGGCCAGGATCTCACTGCTAGCATTTAATAAATTCTGTAGCAAGAGTGTGCCAATCAGAGGGAGGGCGATGATGGTTGGTCAATAGTGGAAATGAAGAAACAGGAGTTAAATAAGGAAACTTAAGCAGTGCCCATCCCACCAGAACTTGAGGGAGAGAGGAGATGAGGGTACTGATAGCACTAAACATCTGAATTGTTTTATTAGTTCCTCTTGTTCTGATCCTATGTTGAACAAGCAGCATTTTGACCATTATTTGACTTTCCATCTCAAGTGATCTATAAAGATATGTCCACTTGAGTGCTCTAGTTTTCATGCCCATTACTTCCTTACTGTAAATCAATAATTTGATGTTCTAGTTTACATAGTAAGCTCCACGAGGCTGTTTTTGTGGCCCTGAGATGAAGCTACACTCTTTATGCTGACAAAGTCAGACCTTGAGCCTACAAGTTTGAAGACAATACTCTGGAAATGCATAAATTCACCAAATAAATACCATCCCATGAGGCCTGGAAAATCCAGAAAACATCATAAATTAATTTCTAACTTCTCCACAGTATTTCATATAAACTTACATATTAAACTATTTCATCATTTAAATATTAATGTTTTTATTTAGGTAGGTTTTAAAATGTATTGGAGGCTAAGTTATTGCTTGGTCTTACCAACGTATTTTGCATTGAATTCATATTTTTAATTTTAATTCGATTTTATAGGAAGTTGCTGCTTAATATAAATATATAGAAGGACTAAAGTGTCCTAGCTTTATAGTCAAGAAAATTTGGAAACTAAGAGATTAAATGACTGGCTTAGTCAAATAATTACTTAATGACAGGTCTGAAAGTTAAACCGTGATGTGCTGACTTCTTGGCCTATGCAGTTTTCAGTAAACTATAATATTTCATCATGTTGCCATATTTGGAAATTATTGATATTATTAAGCACTAATCTCTATTCTGTTAGATGACATCATTCCAGATTGTTTATCTTAAGTTGACTAAATTATAATCAAAATAGATATCAAGAAAACATATCAGAACTATTTTTTTCTCATCACATTCATAAGCTGCTGTTCTTTTTTTCCTAATGGGACATACAAGCATTTTCAGCTTTCTCCAAACCTATCTGTATCTTCTTTCATCATGTTTTTCATCCTCTTACACCTTATATTGCTCTTTATTTTAATAAGCTAGGAAAATGAAACAGCTAAACATATTTTAGTATCCTCTGACATATTATAGGTAGAATACATAAGCTACTGGAAACCATAGGCAAGGGAAGATGATGAGGTATTTACTTAGTGGTATAGACTTTGATATAGGGCAAGAAATAGAAATTTGGGGGGAGTGGTGGAGAGTGAGACATTGAAAAAAGAAGAAAGTATCGAATGGAGGTTACTGAATTTACTGCAGGCACTGAGAAAGTAAATATGAGCTAATTTGCAAGGTAAAAGCATTTTCTTTTAATGAAGCTGAATTTTATTTTGTTGCTGTCGCCATATTTGTCTTGCTGCTATGCTTTTCCATATACAAGCTGGGCCTTTCTGCTTATTTTCTCTCACCTCTTGGTGGAAGTTCTCAAGAGAGTACCTTTTCTTCCTATGTGTAGCAGATTCTACCACCTGCCCTCTTGTCCCCCTTTTTCCACCAGTTTATACACTTAAATGCAAGCAGACATTTGCGCTCGTCTCTCATTTTATCCCTCACACCCCTGTAGCCTGGACTTCTTTATAAGGCTACTCACCCAGTTTTCCTGGTCTTTGGCACTGGGGTGTGTGTGTGTGTGTGTGTGTGTGTGTGTAAACTGGGCACGCACTTGGAAACCTGGAGCTCCTCAGCTCGATATCGCTTCCTTGGTGAAGTGAAGCTCCCATTTATCCCGAGAATGTGAAGCTCTGAATGAGAGTTGGGTTTTTCTTTTCCTTGACTTTCACAAGTGTAACTCATATAGCTAGTCACTTGATTTCATTTGTGCACAAAACTGGGGGTGAGAATTTCTTTTCTTCAGGGTGTTTGGCATACTATCAGTGAACCAAACCGTAGCTACACTTTTGTTTTTCATGAAGAGTTACATTTGGTTGTGTCAGTAAGGTATGTTAAGAGAAAAAATATCTCAGTTTCAGATGAAGCTAAATATAAAGTCATTTCACTAATAATAAGAAGGTATACTGTCAAATACACAGTTTGAAATAAACATGGAACCCAGAAGCATCACAGTGATTTTTTTCCCCATTAAGTAGCCTTTTTAAAAAACAAGTTTAAGGAAAATTAGAATCAATAATTGTGGTGAGAGCACAGAGCCAGCAAATATGTTTAAATGAAACCGTCTGATGCAATACTTTCTTTAAAAAATACAATTAGGCCTTTGTGTTTTTTTTCAACAAAACCTCATGTTTTACAACATCGCTGGTTCTGTAATAAAATCTATTTAAAACAGAGAGACATGGTCAGCTTTATTAAGTTAGATTTTCTGAAAGAACGTTATAATTTCCTCAAGTCTATGAATAGTTGAAGCAAATTAAATAAAGCTAGTTTTATAACTATTTTTATACATTCTTGTAGAATTGTAATTGTCTCATATTTTTTCCTCAATAGTCTAATATGTTACCTCTTAAATCTAGAAAAATAAAAACAGAAGAAGGATCAAGTATGTTTATTAAAAAAACACTCCTATTTGGTACCCTGATCTGGCAACCCCCCTTTCTTCTGTAAGAGAATAGCACCCATAATCTTCAGATCAAGAAACAAAGGGAAAGCCTTTAAGTGACTTGCCTGAGGCCTAATGCTGAGATTAAAAATCAGGAGTTTCTGATTATACACATACATCCATTTGGCCAAATGATCGGTTTTGCTTGACTTTCAAATACCCCCTAAATATTACTTTGAATGTAGAGCAATAAATGTGTTTCTCTTGCCATTTTTGAATGCTTGCACACAAATGGATATAATAAAAACAATCATGTTGTTCCATGTGAATGCCATTTATATTTTTTCAGATAATGAGCAGACCATTTGAACCAAGGTGAGTACATTAAAAGCTCTAATAAAAAAGAGAATAGATTTCTAAACAGAATAATGGACTGTTAAGTGAACATATAATAAATAACATCTACAGATGTGGTTGCTAGAAAATTAGTTTTGCATAACTTACCAATATACATTTCCCCCCAGATGTTATCTGTTACATGAAAATTAACGTAAGTTAGTTATATTGTTCGTTACGTGCACATTTCATTAGCGTTATTTAAGACGATTTACAATCCGAGCTTTAGTTGAATCATGCCATGGTATTTAAAGAATATCAAGTAAATGGCTTTTTGGCATAATTTAGTACTCATAAGAACAAAATTTCATCATCAAACATTATGTAACTTTAAAAAAATCCAAGATCTTTGCTTACAAGCCAAATAAAATCACTAGAAATCTTTTAATAATTTACATATTCAATATAAAATGGACCTCTAACATGGTAATAAACGATAGGAATTTTGAATCCTCCTGGCACTAAGTACAGGGTCAGTTGGGTCTAAAAACATACTTACAGGAATTAAAATCTGTTTTCAGATCTCACTGTGTCTAAGAAGCACGATAAAGATTTTATCTGAAAAACACGTTACTTCATGCTTTCTTTTTTTATGTGTTAACGATATTGATAGTATTAGGTTTATTGTTTGTTGTTATTTGTTATTATTATTGTTTGCTTTTGTTTATTGATATTTATTTCATTTGTTTATTGTTTTCTTTGGAGAAAGTGTAGGTAATTTCTGGGTAGTGTTTATACTGCTGACATCTACGATTAGGGTGGCAATTATTAAATCATTAAATTCAATTATTAAGCTTTTTGAGATATTAAAAATACCATTGAGATGACAACTTTCCACTGTTTTGAATGGAAGAAAGTGAGATAAATCTGTTAAACCCTTTTGGAACTACTAGAACACATTCAAAACACTGGTTTGCTTTAAAAAGACATTTGTTTGGAATTGTCAAATGATGACTTCATATATAAATCAGAACTTACTAAAAAATGTCAAAGTTTCAAAAAGCAAACTATTGCAAATTCTTCCCAAACAAAGGCAAAAAAAAGACACAAAAATTCCTGTAATGTTTTAAATATTTTTTCCCTCAAATGAGAAAGGCATTACTCATTTGCAAGTCTAATTAAGAAGTACTTTGCAGTTCTGGAAAATTTTAAGGAAGAATTGTAACCCTTTGCCCACTACACATAAAGTAACAACATATGAATGCCACCTGCAAAATGTAATAAACTCTGGTAATGTCATACTGAGGCCATAAATTTAAAATCAAGAGAGTACATTCAAAAGCTAAGATTATCAGAGAAATTCAAAATAATTCATTTCTAAAGTGTTTTCCTTTGTGTTCAGGCCATTACAAACTTCTTAATA